GGCTAGCCAGGAGCTGAAAGGTGAAGGCGGCTAGCCAGGAGCTGAAATGAGGTGAAGGCGGCTAGCCAGGAGCTGAAATGAGCAGAAGGCTAGCTTGGAGTTGAAATGAGCAGAAAACTAGGTTGTAGCTGATAGGAGCAGAAGGCTAGCAAGGAGCTGAACAACACAGAAGGCCAGCTAGGAGCTGAAAAGTGAAGGTGGCTAACTAGGTGCTGAAAAGAGCAGAATGCTAGCTAGGAGCTGAAATGAGCAGAAGCCTAGCTAGGAGCTGAAATGAACAGAAAGCTAACTTGGAGCTGATAGGAGCAGAAGGCTAGCTAGAAGCTGAACAACACAAAGACTAGCTAGGAGCTGAATGAAGCAGAATGCAAGATAGGAGCTAAAAGGAGCAGAAGGTTAGATAGGAGCTGAAATGAGCAGAAAGTTAACTTGGAGCTAATAGAAGCAGAAGGCTAGTTAAGAGCTGAATGAAGCAGCAGGATAGCTAGGAGATGAATGAAACAATGTGAGCTAGGAGATAAAAGGTGCAGAAGGCTAGCTAGGAGTTTAAAGGACAAGAAAACTATCTAGAAGCCAAAAGCTTATTGCAAAAAGTTTGATAAAAATAGCAAAATTCTAGCAAAAAAAACTAGATTTAACAAAAGGCTAGTAAAAGGTAAAAGTAGCTAAACTGATGCTGATTTCAGTTTGAACTTTTCAAACTTTGGCCTGTTTATTTTTATGACAAAAACTTTTTTTTTTTCTTACAACTCTCTTGAGATCTCAGACCGATGTTCACAGCCAAACAGCTAAAATACTGATAACCATCTGACCGAACATAACTTGAAAAATGACCAGACTATCCCTTTAGAGCCTGGTTTCTCTCAGTTTTGACATGTTACAAACATCTAACAGGCTCAGTTGGTGATCTGAGACCATTCCCAGTTTGTTCCTCATTTCACATTAAATGTCCAGGGTTATTTATTTATTTATTTTTATTCCTCCCTGGAGACGATGAGATCAGAGCTCAGAGTGACCAAATCCCCGCTTCAAGCTGTGTGCCGTCTCCTATTCATCCACTAATCCATATTTTCTTCACCCACGCATAAAAGCTGAAAGAAAATGGGTTGTGTAGCTTGTTTTTGAACACAACCTTTTTATTCTTTTCTTTATTTGCCCCTTGAGTCATATTTCAGCAAAGAGTGTGTGTGATTGCTTTTGTCATGTTTCTAACCAGCACTGACAGAAATCAGATACTTTAATCTTCGTTTTTTTTTCCTTGCTTTACAGAAAAAGCTGCACCTAAAGTAGAAGGTAACTAAATTTTTTATGTGCTGTTATTAATTCACCTAACGTCAATAATGAAAAGAAAAAACTGCTGAAATTAAATGTTTATTTGATATGACAGATTCAATTACAAGTTGAATATTAATCAAGTATGTATTATTACAAATATGTCATAAATTATTAGGCTGACTATGTACAACTGATGAACTTCGAAAGTCAACCCCATTCAAAATGGCTGCCTCAACTAACACAAAATTGACTATAACACGATCAGTCTTATGTGTATTGAGCTCCAATTTGGTGTGGTGGTAGCTGAGAGTTGTCAATTCAATTCAGTTTATTTATACAGCGCCAAATCACAACAGAAGTCATCTCAGGACACTGAACAGAAACAGACCCGTTACATAAAAAGCAAGTTAACATTATTTAAGAAAATAAACTTTATCGCCCTCCGTTTAGTTTTAAGAGCCTGATTCTGGGTTTATTTAGCAGCTTTGATTCAATTTATTTGAACTTTTCATACCACATGCTTTTCTCAGATTTAAAACATTTAGAACCCAACACTGCTCCCTGGAGAACACCAGCAGAAACTTCAAACGGATTTCTGTTTGTGAAATATTTCTCTGATCGGATTATTAAATCAACTGACGCTTATGACTCGTTTATTTACTTGAACCTGCTCTCCTAAAAAAATAAAAATAAAAATCAGTGCAGATCATCAACACATACTGTTGAAGTCAGCTTTGTTAGCGAAATATCTCATGAAGCCCCGGGCAGAGTTTAATCAATCATTGGATGCACGTCTAAAACGACTAAACTGTTTAAGTCAATCCAATGTAAGATGGCTGCCACAGCTGATCAGATTTAACACGTATATGGCTGTAAGTCAGTTTTACAGATGTTGGGCTTAAGTGTGGTAGTAGCTGACAGTCATCACAATCACATACTTTAAGCGCTTATATCAGTTTTGTTCAAAGTTTAGCGTGCGAGGCAACAGAGATGGGTTCCTTCAGTGAATTTAACTTTTATTCCTTGTTGCACATCCCTCATTCTAAACTCTTTTTTTTTAATTTAAGTAATGCAGAGGCTGAATTAAATCTCTGAAAATGCTTTTTAAACAGCCTCCACCTGCACATTACTGTAAATTGTTTGTTTTATTGCCTCTCGATCATTTCAGCCTCATTAGTGTCCCCGGGTCCGTCAGTAATCACTGTTTTGTTTGGCTGCTCTGGAGCTGCCTGCTGAGTTAGGATTAGATGCATTTACTCCAAATGAGAGATCCATTTGTAAATATAGTGAAATCCACTCGGGAAGCATCGGTTGTTTACATACAGGAGCGATTCTGAGACTTTCTTTTGCCAGTTTTAAATAAAAATTTGCTATTTTGCATTTCTTATGTTGATTTATTTAATTTAACCAGTTCTTCATCACCCTGCAGCGATTGCTCATTTTAATCACAATAATTGAGTTAAATGTTGTCATTTCTTCAGAGCTTGGTAAAACTTTTTTTTTCTGCTGATGTTTTTTAATATCAACTACAATTTATTAATACAGATAAACAGCCAAGAACACTAAAGTATGAACAAACCAGTAGAATGGGTGAAAATGTGGGAGCAGCATTAATTAAATATCAAACCTAATTGTTTATTTGCAGAGAAAAATAGTTTAATATCTGAGTGGGAGACAAAAGCTGCAGCATTTCATTTAGATTCAGGTGTGTTTAATTATTTAATCAATATGTTTTTAATGGGATTTATCAGAATTAGAGACCCCCCCAGTCTGGGAAGAATCTGTTTTTAATCTTACGTTGGCTCTGAAACCAGAAACTTTGCACACAAAAAAAAGTTTGAGGGCTCAAAAATGTGTCGACCTGCAGACAAACACTGAAGATGAGGCTGATAACTGTCGGTAGTATCATGATGTGGGCTTGTTCACTCATTCATTTAACCAAAAAAAAAAAGACTTAGCAGTCACATGCAACTTCAGTTGTACTAATACTTAAAGTATTACGTACTTTAGCTATTCACGCATGTGCTGTACACAGCAGGTAATAGATTGCAGGATGAGTTTGTTGTAAGGAAGTTATGTTTTTAAAAGAATCTGGATGTTTTGGCTCAAATTATACAAAATACAGTGGGTATTTAATTAAAGCGGAATCTAGTTTAGCTATTTTACTCTTGTCATATATATATATATATATATATATATATATATATATATA